CCCCCCCGGCAACTAGTGTGATGTAACTTACTTTTTGCTACCTCAGAATAACAAAGTTCTACCTGACATTTTTGGCGGTTCTGAGTTACAAGGACCATGAGTTCAGAAATCAAATCCTCTGTCTGCTCTATTAAAATCGTAAGATTATATGGAGTCGTTATCAAGATATTCAAAGATTTGCATTTAAAAAAGCTTGACATATTATTGCGAAACTCTAAACTTTGGACATTAAATTTTTCAAAATAAGAACTGAGCAGATAGAGCTTTTAACTCTAAGGTTGCGTTTTTGCAACAAAACTAGAGGGGAAAGGGGGCGGGTGTCTCCTGTCCTGACAAGAAATCAAGTAAGCGACACTCGCGGGGTTTTTTCCAAGCTGTGAGACAGAATCTACATGAGTCTACAAGGACATTGAATTTGAGTCAGGTGGAAGTTACCCTGTATAACATTTCAAAGCAAATCAGTGATCAGTTCAAAGAAAATGGAATTCAGATATTCACAGACGATGCTCTGAAAACACAGCCCGTTTATAAGGTGAAAAGTTCCCACTTGTCGACGTCTTCGCGTCTTCATGGTGCGTGTTTGTGTTAGCTTTTCTGTTTATTTAGCACATCCCATTCTTTCTGCACTGAATGGAAACTCTTAGACTTAGAGATTCTTTCGAAAACTTACATGTTGAAATGACGCTGGAAAATGGCAATGCTGTTGCAAAAGTAAATCTTTTTTTTTTAAAGAATGATGCATCTGGTGTGATATGTACATTTTGTCAGCTTTGCTTCTCTTTTCATTTTGAATTTTAATGAGAGTAATATATAATTTAAATTTGCGTGTATACTTGCATGTGTTTTTTCGGTCCTGTACAGCCAAAAAAATTCCCTCTGGGATGATAAAGTAATATCTTTTTTCTTATCTTATCTTACTGTCACTTGTACGGTGAGACATAGAGGATATGCAAAAACACTATTGATTTTTCTTTGCTAAAAATTTGACAGTGAGCTTTCACAATCTCTCGTGTTGTAAGCTATGAATATGCATTGTAACACACTCACCTGTGTTGGCATGAGCTTACACACACACACACACACACACACACACACACACACACTCACATACACACACACACGTACACACACACACACACACACACACACACACACACACACACACACACACAATCAACACCTCTTCACCTTTTCTTTATGTACTAAAGGGTTATCTTAACACTATCATTAACATTTTCCTCTGTGAGATAAATAAAACCGTACTTTTTTCCTTACCTTGTGTGACCATTTCTTTTCACTTTTAACTGTGAGTAAAGTATCCTCTTTTTATGTTGTCACCGGAATTTTCAACTGTGTACCCTGCTCAAACGTTTCAGTTCAGAGTCTGCTGTAACCTACAGGTTTCATCAAGATGCTTCGCAGATACAGATCCCTGAAAAAACTGGTCTACGCTGCGGCTATCCTGTTTACAACGATCATCCTCTACGCTACGACAAGTCCAGGGAGTGAGTAGCCTACATCTGCACCCATCATGTGGTGTCGGTGGCCTCGTGGTTAGGCTACCGGACTCGTAATCGTGAGGTTGCGGGTTCGGGGGTTCGAGCCGCGGGCCCGACGTTGTGTTCTTGGGAAATGCACTTTACACGAATTTTCCTCACTTCACCCTGGTGGGAATGGGTACCCGGCCACAGACAGCGTAAGATCCTGTCAGTTCGTGTGTTGGCGCCTATAAATGGCCACGTGCACTGTATGCTTACCAGGAAGTTGAGAACGTGTTTCAGAATGCTCTCGGGTCTGCTGGGGTAATAGTATTAGATTGTGAAGCGCATAGAGCTTGCTGCTGATCGGGGATTTGAGCTATACAAATGCTATCTCTTATTATTTAAAAAAGAACTGCATGTGATTGCGTGCCCACGGTGGAATTTCCGTGTCGAAATCCTACAAAGACCCGGCAGTTTTGAAAACATTATTAGACTTTATCGCGTACATAATAAAGTAAAAGTGTAATGTAGATCCTTTTTTTCTTTTTGTTTAGTAAGAGTTTTAAGGAGCTTGCAACTGCATAAGGTCGTATGAGCGCTTGCATGCAGATGCTTGAGCTCAAATACTCTAGATGTGGGATCGTCGACCCATAACTACCCCCCCCCCCCCCCCCTCTCTTCCCCCCCCCCCTTGCATACAACGTTTTCCCCCTCAACCCCCTCAAGAAAAAAGAAAGAAAAGGAAGACAGCAAAAATACAACAGAATGCAAACCAAACCATAGCAAACATAGTGAGTCTGCGTTCCCGCTGATAACTTCCTCCAAGGCGAAGAAATTGTGCACTTGATTCGTGCCAGCATTATACTCGGTTATGCTTAGAATAACGTGAACCATGATCTTGCATCAAATGCACCAGGGTTTAGAGGTTAAGAGTGTGGGTGCGTTCCAAAAGTTAAAGAGTCCGCCCAGGTGAACAGCCAAGGCAAGGTCAGTATTCAATCAGTTATCAAAAGTCTGGAAAGCAAGCATCTCACTGCACACCAAGATTCATCTCTTTAACTCCAACGTCAAGTCTGTGCTCCTCTGTGGCTGCCAAACTTGGAAGACAACAAAGACAGTATTGAATAAAGTCCAGACTTTCATCAACAGATGTGTGAGGAGTATCCTAAGAACTAAGTTGCAGGATATAATAAGAAATGAAAAGCTGTGGAAAAGGACAGGGCAAAAGGACTTAGAAATAGAAATAGGACTAAGAAAGTGGCGATGGAGGGGACACACCTTCAGAAAGCCCAGCGGAAACGTCACAAGACAGTCGCTGCAGTGGAATCCACTAGGAGCACGAGGCAGGGGTAGGCCACGGGAAACATGGAGGAGATGTGTGGAAAGTGACATGAGAGAGATGAAGCTCACTTAGAACAAGCTTAAAAGGATGGCCCAGGACAGAGATAAATGGAAGGAGCTTGTAAGTGGCCTATACCCTGCCAGGGCTGGAAGGCACTGATGATGATGATGTTCAATTTCTATGAGTATTGAGGTTAACACAATAAGTGGGAAAGAGATTCCGCTTTTTAGACAGCGTTGTTAATGAGTTACAGGTTCTTCTTATTAAGAATGTCACAAAGGTAATAGGT